TATAGAGGTAACGAAATTAGCGGTGTCCAATATAGTTTATAAATATACATTAATTGTGTCATTTCCACTAATTAAGCATGTCGTTACTATTTAAATATGACGAATAAGAAGGAAATAGTTTCCTATTTAATTTTTCCTAAATAAATACACTCATGAATAGTAACGAAAGGGATATATTTTTATCTGGTTATTCAATTGGCTAGTATGAACCATATTTATCTACTTCACAATCACAGCGGAATTTGATAAGATACACTTTTCATGTTTCGTTCCATTATTTTCCTTATTTTAAGAGTCTACCTGATTTTTCGTTTTGAGATAACATAGAATGATTAAACATAAGACTGTGATAACACTGGGGAAACGGTCGCCTCCTTAAAACGTTCAAATTATTCACCATCTCACAGTATTGCAACTATAACAACAGAATTCAGGCAATGCAGTAGAATATCTTTAAGTACTAGAACTATCTTGTAAATAATACATCAACTTTGGTAAATTCATTCTTAAATGTCAATCGGTTTCCATACATGTTTTACAAAATAAACTTTAGCTTAGGTGTTAATAAGATAATCCATTTGTTATGCATTAATTCGCGCCGGCACCTGGGTGATCACGCCTTTGCATTTCGGCGTATTGAAGCCTGTGGCGATCCCTAATCGGACGCGTAGTGTTTGCTAGCGGGAAGGTATTCGAATGATCCCTTTGTTTGTGCGTCGGTGGCAAAGCGGATAACTTACTGTGTTCAACTTCCACTGGGAATGTAGACACCTCTAGCAGAGCCATTGCCATAAATTTCACTGATAATTACCCTTAACTAAATGACACTTTGTATATTAATTCGTTCTCTTTTAACGGTATCTTCGAATTCAGCAGATATATTTATATCTATTATTATTAACTGTTTGGGTTCCGGGTGGAACACGGGGTTTTAGCAGCACCTCGCCATTTGATTCTGTTATCTGTTGGCCCCATGAGTGCCAAAGAGCTGTCATCCCCTCCTCATACAATTTCTTCCACGTCACCCTCCAAGTTTCTGTTTCAGATTTATTTTCCACTTGAGTGGTTGCCTGGCGCGTCATTACACTCGATGGTCTCCTCAGTCTCCCTCCAATTCACCTCGATTCCCTTCTGCGTATTTTTGGGGCGGCTAGCTCTTGAATGTGCTTCGGTGGCACAGTGGTTAGGACTCTCGCCGACCATGCACATGGTCCGGGGTTCGATCCCC